AAATTAAATAAACCATGCTGATTAATGGAGAATTTACTCTAGTATATTACAAACATAGAAATATTAGGGGCAGATCAACATACCAAAATGTCTGGAATGGTCAATGGGCAGATGTGGCTGGAGATTTCAAGTCTTGAATTAAAAATAAATCTTCAGAGTTGGGTACACACCTGTATTTCCATTCACTTCTGGGGGAAAAAATAAAAAGCCATGAATGAGATTTTAAGAAGAAAATTGGAACTGGAAAGAGATGTTAAACAAAGGGGTAAAATCTTCGGAAGAAAAAAAAAGATTTTTAAAAAAAGTACTACAAATTTGGGGTAAAAGAAAACTGAGTATAACGGTCCATATGGTAAGGAAAGAATTCCATGGTTATCTCAGCCGACATGGGTGAAAGGCCATGTATTTTGTTGCCTAGAATATTGATTCATTTTTTTTTTTAAGATTGTATTTTATTTGAGAGTGAAAGAGAGAGCATGAGCATGAGCGGGGTTGGGGGGGTGGCGAGGCAGAGGGAGAAGCGGGAGTGAGGTGGAGGTAGACAGGACTGCTATTCTTATTATCATATCTCCCTCCCTGCTGAGCAGGTAGCCCAATGCGGGACTTGATCCCAGGACCCTGAGATCATGACCCAAGCTGAAGGCAGATGCTTGACTGACTGAGCCACCCAGGTGCCCCTCAGATCATTTTCTATAAGGTTTTTGGTTTTTTGTTTTTTTTTTTCTTTAGAATCTTACTCTGGGAGAAAGTGATTGAAATGTTGGGGTACAGAAAACATAAAGCATAGAAAACTCATTATCTGTTAATTATAAAATTTTAAGTATATTTATCACATTTTACTTATATCTGTGCTAAGATAGACATCTTTTTGATAATTCAGAGGAAATCCTATTTTTTAGAAATATAAAACTAATCCAAGATGCAGGATAAAATCACTAGGTGTATATGCAGAGAATTCAATAAACATAGGTTTAATATTTCAAAAATAACAAATTCATATTCACCATTTACTAATGCCCATAATGTGCTATGTACTGACACTTTGATGTCAAAAATATTCTACTATAGTTAATAGTAATACTTTAGGGTAAATAGTTCGCAATATATAAATTTTGTAGTTTAATGAATAAGAAATTAAGTTGTGTTCCAGGCAAGAGAAAATAAATTGATGATAATAAATAATAAGTTTAAAATTAATATTATCATTTTCTTATTAAGTAACATAGTTTTTTTCTTCCCAGTTTCATTGAGATATAATTGACATTGAAGTCTATATTAAAGTATATAGTATAATTATTTGATATATGCATTACAAAATGAATACAATTTTAGTTAACATCCATCACCTCACAGTTACAAATTTTTTTCTTCTGATGAGGAGTTTTAAGATCTATTATCTTAGCAACTTTCAAATATACAATATGTATAACATAGTTTTAAATATATATTACAGAAGATGTATTTTTTTGTCTTTTAAGCTTTTATTTAAGGGCAATGATCTATGATGTAGATTTTAGATCTTATTAAAAGCAGCCACGCCCATGGACTGCACATAGTCCTCAAAAGCAGTGATCTGCTCCTCCAGCATATCTGTTCCAACTTTATCATCTTCTACTACACACTGTATTTGAAGTTTTTAAATTCCATATCCCACTGGAACTAGTTTAGAAGAGCCCCAGACCAAACCGTCTACCTGAATGCTTTGGACGCACTCCTCTAGTTTTGCCATATCTGTCTCATCGTCCCAAGGTTTCACATCTAGTAATATGGAAGACTTGGCAACACGTGCAGGTTTTTTGGCTTATATGAGACAAGCACCACCAACCAGGTGCCACTCTACCCAGGTCAGGGACAGAAGATGTATTTCTAAGGTAAAATTCTTAGGACTTCTTTGTAAAAGTAATTGAATCAATGATTTATCTCAACCCAGTATGACAAAAAACAACTTAAATTAGCTGTGGAAGGTAAAATGACCAAGGTTAAGAGTGTATATTGTGTTTCCCTACTACTTTTAGGAAAGGTCCATTTAGAAATGACAGCAATACTTTGGGTTTATAGTTCATGTATCTCAAAAAGGTTGTTTTATTTTTATTTTTTTTTCAAGATTTTATTTATTTCTTTGACAGAGAGAGAGCGAGAGAGGGAACACAAGCAGGAGAAGTGGGAGAGGGAGAAGCAGGCTTCCCACTGAGCAGAGAGCCGGATGTGGGGCTTGATCCCAGGACTCTGGGATCATGACCTGAGCCGAAGGCAGCCGCTTAATGACTGAGCCATCCAGGCACCCCTCAAAAAGGTTTTAATATTACATAAAGTTAAATTGAACTACAGAGAAGGATCTAACAAAATTTATTTAACATGGTAATTATGCAACATAAACTATCAACATTTGACTATCACACCCAGTTAGTCATATCCTTACTTGTCAGCAATGTTTTTCTTTCTTTTCTTTTTTCTTCTTCTCTTCCCTTTTTTTTCCCCACCTCCTCCCTGCAATGTTTTCTTTTTAAAAAATGTTTATGCTTCGTTATAAAAATGCTTAAATTCCTATTATGTTTCAAGATGAAAAGTATAGAGTAAGTGTAAATAGAACCTACCAGAACTATTCTTTTCATCATGGTACTTTGGTGCTTTTGACCTTGTCCTTGTCATTAACAGATTTCCAGCACCAGCAGGACAGTGTCAGCCCTTTCAAGTTTTGTCAACTTACATTCTTTTCCTCTTCAGTGCAGTACAGGCCAAATTCCCATTTCATCTTTCTATTACCTTTAAAGAGAATATTGCATTCCGACAAAATATGCTATTATTGAAGAAATCAGAATTTAGCCGTAAAATATATATATCACCCCCACTTTGTTTTATATATTTTCTTCTTTCTCTGCTATCTCTAGGCTAATGAGTCCCCAGAATTGGAAATTCCTTGGATGAATCTGAATAATTCCTTTATAAACAAATTATTTTGACAAAAGAACATGTATAAATTGCCTCACTGAGGCCGTTCCCACCTCACTGTACAAGTTTCTCCATGTTTTCAAATGCCAGCTAATGATCCATTTCACAGAACCATTCATAGATAACCCAATGGCGCCTCTCTGTTTACTCCATGTAGTGATTGCTTGTGTCTCACTTCCTTGAGCTGTTTGGTATGCCTGGCTTTACATCTTTGAATATACTTACATGTTTTCTCAGGTTTTGTCTCCCTCATAGATTATAAATGCCTCAATATTAGACACAACGTGTTCCAACCAAGGATGGACTATTATTTGCCTGCAGACCTATGAATTCAAAGGAAATGCTTTACCTTTTTCCTAGTTCCAAAATCCTGTTCAAATCTATGCTCTTCCTTTCAATTTCCAGAACCACAGTCCTAGTTCAGGCTCTCATTCTCTCTCACCTGACTAGTGCAGTCATCTTCTAATTATTTGCCTGGCCTTTGGTCTCTGACCTCTGGCAATTTATCTCTGATTTCTGTCTCAGTGATCTTTCTAAAGCACAGTTCTGATGTCCCCACTCCCTAGGTTAAAAACTTCCATGGCTCCCTGCTGACTGCAAAATAAAATCTCCAGCTAGGCATTCAAGGTCTTTACAATCTGGTCCTATCCCCTCTTTCTAATCCCCTTCCAATCACTTACTCTTCCTACTCCATATTCTATGAGCTATTAATTGTTTACCAAATACATCTTTGCACATTCCTATCCCCTGTCTTTATCCATTTTCTCTTTTCCTAAGTTTCTCCATCTATTCTTACCTTGCTCTTTAATAAGGATCCCAACTCAAGAGGATCACTTTTTACCTTTCTTGCTGTCCCTAGTCAACTTGTTTCTTGTCCTTTCCAGAGCATGTTGTTGATGTCTCCATTTTAGCATTTCTCATTGGCTCTGTACTTGAGAGGTAGACCTATCTCAGTCTCCCATTTATACTGTAAGCAACTTTAAGATAGGGATAATTTATTCAACTTTCTATGGCTACAGCCTAGCAAGTGGAGTGGGAGGAAGAGACTAACTCCGTGGGAAATGAAGGAAGTATTTCTAATGACACAGGAGGGGAAATTTCCAGCCTGTTTCTTGGAAGAGGTTCAAATTCTTTAATTATAGATATCCACCTCACCTGAAGTAACTTCCTGGAATTAGAGTTCAGAGACCTTCTAATAAAAACTATATTTTCTAGAACTTCCTGGAATTAGAGTTCACACACCTTCTAATAAAAACTATATTTTCTACAAGTCAAGTTTGTAACTTGTGAGACATGGAAGTTAAGCCTCTAAATCACAGCCACCAATTACATTTCTTCTGTGCAACCCCACCCAGCTATTAGAATTTATTAAAAGGAAATTCTACATTTAAGTCAAGAATAACTGTGATCTCTTATTTGATCGATGGCACAGTATTGTCCTGGGACCTACATCTAGCCTTACCACCATTGGTCAGTTGGCACGTGGCTTTCAGGACATCAACCGTCAGAGACAGCTCTGTAATTACTTGTTATTACTTGAATGGAACGTTTCCGAACCCATGGTGGTTATTTCGCCTTCATTCACCATTAAACATTTGATTCTGTGCCAGCAGGTTGTCCGGGTGCTTGGCTACTCTTATTGCCGACGCCGGCACCAGGATCGTGGCCTTTCCGAGTCAACGCTCGTCAGAAGGAAGCCTGCACCACAGCCGGAGGGAAACGAGGGCTGAAGTTGGAGAAGAGGGGCGGGCAACGTCCGCCCGCCTGCCCAGCGCCGCGACGCCTGGTGGAGGTGAAGGCAAACCCCCAGGCAGCCGCCCCGCCGAGCCTCAGCACCCAGACGCCTGCGGATGCTCTCGCGGCGGCCCCGCGCGGCCCAGCCCTCTTCCCGAACGGCAGTGGGGGCGGGGCGCTGCGCGCGCCGGCGCGTGGAGGCCGGGGGCGGTGGCGGAGCGCGCGCGGCCTGCCAGGGGCGCGCGGAGCGGGGGCGCGCGGCGGCCGCTGCGGCCTGTGGCGCCGTCACTCGGCAGAGCCGATCCGGCCCAGCTGGGCGCCGCTGCCGGTGGCCAGGCGCGCGGGGACGGTTCGGGGCTGCGCCGGGGGCCGGCCCGTGCTTCCGCCGCCGACATCCTCCCATCCGCGGGCCGCCCGGGTCCCGCTATCATGTCGCTGAGGCAGCGCCTGGCCCAGCTGGCTGGCCGTCTGCAGGAGCCGCAGAAAGTGGCCCGTTTCCAGCGGCTGTGCGGGGTGGAAGCGCTTCCGCGCCGCTCCGCCGCGCCCGCCACCGATCCAAGGGGGGATGAGAAGGCGGAGGCGCCCCTCGCGGGAGACGCCCGGCGCCGAGAGCAGCAGCCAGGGGCGTCCGCAGGCCCCCAGCCGCCCGGGAGCGACCGCAATCAGTGTCCCGCCAAGCCCGGCGGCGGCGGCGGCGGCGGCGGCGGCGCCCCCAACGGCGTGCGGAATGGGCTGGCGACCGAGCTGGGCCCGGCCTCGCCGCGGCGCGTGGGGGCCCTGCGCCGCAACTCGCTGACGGGCGAGGAGGGCGAGCTGGCCCACGTGAGCAACTGGCCGCTCTACTACCTGTTCTGCTTCGGCACGGAACTGGGCAACGAACTCTTTTACATCCTGTTCTTCCCCTTCTGGATCTGGAACCTGGACCCCCTGGTGGGCCGGAGGCTCGTGGTCATCTGGGTGCTGGTCATGTACCTGGGCCAGTGCACCAAGGACATCATCCGCTGGCCGCGGCCCGCCTCGCCGCCCGTGGTCAAGTTGGAGGTTTTCTACAACTCCGAGTACAGCATGCCGTCCACCCATGCCATGTCCGGCACCGCCATCCCCATCTCCATGGTCCTCCTCACCTATGGCCGCTGGCAGGTAAGTTTAATTCTCGCCTGCTGTGCCTGGGGGAGTTCTCCCGCGGGAGAACCCGGAGTTCTCTTCACTCCGCTCAGTTATTTTAATTTGGCCGTTTCCCCTTCCAAACCTCTCTTTCCACGGGTTTTCACAGCCCCCGAGAACAGGCCCTTCCTAGGTTTAAAAAAATTAAGTGATCTAGGGGAAACCTAGAGACTTAGCTGTCAAACTATATTCTAAACCCAAAGGAAATGCTATTCGTGGAGTAACATATTATCATTGGGCTTTGGTTGAGTTTTTAAATGGTTTTAATTCTTGTGATGCACAGAATATAATTGTAATTAATTATAATGTTTTTATACTTAATCGTTAGGTAACTAAGACCCACTTTCACCATAATATACGATGCCTTCCCCCAAACTAATTCTGTTTCAGGCTTGGGTAAAGTCTTTTTAGCTTTACTCCGAGACAGTGTTTATAAAACCGTAGTGTAATTCCAAAACAAACTTGGTCGTTCTAGGCAATGAAGTAATGAATTTTAAACGAAAGCCGCTATTTATGTAAGTTAATGGAACACAGCCTGAGTTCTTTTTTAAGGGGTGTGGTTGCAGATTTGCTGATAGACACAAAGTTTAATTATCTTCTGAATCCCTGATCTGTGGTATCAGTTGTTGAGCTACTACAGGATTACTGTTGCATTAGCTTTAAATACTTTTAAAGTTTTTCTTAAAATTAGGGTTCTTGGTCAGACTAGTGGGTTTGTAAAATTGACAAGTATGACAGCAGGGCCAGCCTGACAATCAGGGATGAGTTTTTAATGGTAAGCATTTTATATTTTGCCTACTTCTTTGGCCTCCCATTTCTCACTTTTTCATGGTCCATAAATGTTACTTGGGTTTGAAAACTAATTCTTTTCTATGGAAGCAAAATTTATTCTTAGACTGCTGTCTTGTTTTATCTTTTAAATTGTAAGGAGCTTTGTTCCTCCTGCAGACCAGTCCCTTAATTTAAGAATAAAGTTAGTAATTATGGAGAATCTAAAGAATCAGACTTCTTCGATTTATTTTTTTCCGTTAGAGCACAAAATCATCTTACATTGAGAAATACTCAATTCTGTGTAAAACTCCATTATGATAAGCTTACTCATTCCAGATTTAATTCCAGTATAGATAAAATCTTGTCCGCATGGGCACTTCTGTGCAGTGCATCTCTCTTAGAGTAACATGGAAAATATGTAATGTGCAGGGTAAGAATGACAGAATTATGAGAGAAGAGTACCATGGACAGTTTTCTTTTCCTTCCTATTTAGCCAAAGGAGATATAGAGGCTATTCGGATTCTAAAGTAGTGCTGCCTTTTTTGAAGGATAGATAAAGATCTCAAATTTTATTTAATCTAAGTATTTCAAATTTAAGATTGTCATTGAGTTATGTTTGGCATGATATTTACTAGTTAGCTAATGATGTTTCTCTTATTTTCATGAGACTTTCAGGATTCTATTACTGTAGGGCCTTTTATAACTCCTCAATGAGTAGCTGTGTTGCATGCTGTTAATATTAGAAGTCCAAGTAAGAGAAAAGTTATTTTTTGCTCATCATCTATTCAGAACACATGCCAACAGGAAGTCTGAAAACAATACTGCTGATTATTTATGGATTGTAGATATTAGTATTCTAACATTTCAGGGTTATTTGAATTATCAGGATAAGCTTACATTATAGTGTTTTTTTGATTTATTTACATTATAGTTTTTGAACAATCTAATATATTTAATCCAAAGTCTGAGGAATTTGTAGATCATTCAATTTTAGAAATTGAACTAGACAGGACTTTAGAAATCACCTACTCTCAAACTATCATTTTACAGAGTGGAAACTGACCTGTTAGAATTAATCTTGTAAAATTAGTTTAAATTTCTTATTTTACGTATTTTTACTCTGAATTTGAGTAAACTTCTAAATTTGAATAATTGTTTAATCTTTTGGTTAGCTGTTATAGAAGAAAGGCTCCCTTGTATGGAAGTCCTGTTTATAAATGTTTGTAATAATCTAGTATAAAAACCGAAATGACTTTTTTACCTTTTTACTTTTTAAAAATCCTTGTTAGGAACTGAAAACAGAAGTACCTTCCTTTGCTTAAGTTGTTTTGGTCCTATTCTCTGTGTTAGTATTGTTGTACTTTGGAGGCTTATATTTCCAGAATGGGTAATGAAAAAAAATATTGGAGGGGCACCTGGGTGGCTCAGTTGGTTAAGCATCTGCCTTTGGTTGAGGTCATGATCCCAGGGTCCTGGGATCGAGCCCCGCATGGGGCTCCCTGGTCAGTGGGGAGTCTGTTTCTCCCTCTGCCCCTCCCACGCTTGTGTTCATTCTCTCTCAAATAAATAAAATCTTAAAAAAATATATTAGAAACTTGGAATAAGAATTAGACAATGAAAGCCTGGTGTTTTTCTAATAGTAGTTTTGGTTGACAGTCCTGTCCATCTGCTGGGCCCCTACAGCTTATTCAGGCTAAGTGTGGTTACTTCTGTATGCCTAGGATGCTGAAACAGCTCTGCAAGCAGAGTTACCTCACATACCATCCCTTTGGTGTGGAGTAACTACTGAACTCCTCCCTGCCGCTGAATGTTCCTTCTTGAAATTGCTCAACATTCACCTCCTACACAGAGCCTTTTTAATTAACCCCTTCTGTTTCATTAGTCCTCATTTGTTCTTAAAATGACCATAGACAAAAAACATTACTTGGGGCTTGTTTAAAGTGTAGGTTTCTGCATCTTACTTTCAGAGATTCTGATCCATTAGCTAGCTAAGTGAGGGTGTAGTGCATTTTACTGAAGTTTCCCAAAGATTTTTGAGGAAAAAAAATGTACTTTCTTAAATCCTTCCAGTAAAAATAATTCTTGATCCTTAAAATATATTTTATATTTCTCTAACATTGTTGTCTCACCTTTTTTGCAATCCCAGTCTTTGAATCTTTTTAAGGTATGTTATAATATCAAAAGAGAGATCAGAACAGTATGATGCCAAGCGGTTATTTGATACTAGGAGAATTTTTTTTCACGGTGATGCAAGATAGAAAATGTATGGCACTTCTCCAGGTATTAACTTGATCCATTAGCCAGGATAATAATTATTGCTCTCATATTATTTGTTGGAATCTTTTGTAGCCTGAATTGGGAAAAAATAAGAAATAGGGAGCAGGAGGTATTAAGAACATAGTCCTTTGAAGAATAATCGAAAATTAAAAATAAAGCACTCCTTTTGTATTTATTTTTTCATGTTCTTTCAAGAAATAAAAATTCTTAATTCTTAAATATTATGGCATATAATAAGTTCTAATTATATACCTGATTTAATAACATTAAGAAAGTTTTAGATTAATTTCATTAAAAAAATTGTCATCACACACTTTATAGCCAAACCCATTCTCAACTAGTCTATATCCTTTCACTAATTTTATTATATTTTTATTATTTTTTAATTTTTTTAAGATTTTATTTATTGATTTGACAGAGAGAGACACAGTGAGAGAGGGAACACAAGCAGGCGGAGTGGGAGAGGGAGAAGCAGGCTTCCCGCGGAGCAGGGGGCCCGATGTGGGGTTCGATTCCAGGACCCTGGGATCATGACCGGAGCAGAAGGCAGATGCTTAACGGCTGAGCCACCCAGGTGCCCCTCCTTTCACTAATTTTAATAATAATAATAGTAATTCTATTATTAACATTATTAACATTTATGAAGGTTTTAGTAGAGGTCAGACATTTTTTGAAAGGTCTATTACCTGATTTAGTCTACTCTTAAAATATCCTAATGTGTTGTTTTTTTTTTTTTATAAGAGGGGTAAGATCTTTAAGATTTTATTTATTTATTTGACAGAGGGAGACTGTGAGAGGGGGAACACAAACAGGGGAAGGGGGAGAGGGAGAAGCAGGCTTCCTGCTGAGCAGGGAGCCCCATGTGGGGCTTGATCCCAGGACCCTGGGATCATGACCTAAGCCGAAGGCTTAACGACTGAGCCACCCAGGGGCCCCAAAACATCCCAATGTTTGGTTCTACTATTAATACAAGTTTATAGATCAGGAAACTAAGAGAGGTAGGTTAAGTAACTTGACAAAGTAACATAGCTCTAGGTAAGTCTCAGAGGGCAAATTTAAATCTTAAACAGACTCCAGAGCTTATGCAGAAAACTCTTTAAATCACGCTATGTGATTTTTAAAGAATCTTTGCGATAACAAATATTTAATAGATAGGATTGTCTTAAACTACAGAAACAGTTTTCATATGCCTTGAGAAAATAATGTGTATGTATATACATATGCAGTATCCACAAATATTTGTGTTTTAAACATATTAAGTTGTTGACTGAAATCAGTGCTGATTTTCTCAGCCTTCCTTTCCCTCTGTCTTCCTAATATAAATAAAAAATGCCATAAAAATAAGAGCTTTGGAAAAGAAAAGCACATAAGATATTTTATTAAAACATAGTTTATTATAGATAATAAAGATATCTGAGATCATGAAAAGATAAAAGGAAGACAAGAAGAGCTACAAAAGTGGGTCACAAATGACAAAGATTAGAAAGGGCTGCAAGAGCCAGTAGAAACTGATCACTAGTAATTCTGGGAAGAAACAGTTTATTAAAAAATCAAATTGGTTTGTTCTTTGATTTCTTTTAACCTAGTGTCATACTTGTGTTTGGAAATGCACATTTTCCTGATTTTATAAGTACTTACTATTCTTGATTTAAAATTAATTACATTTATTTGTTTGAATGGGGAATACTTCATAGAAAATTTAATATTTACATGAAAATATGAAGAAGAGAGTGCATTTCTTTTTTTTTTCTGTTCCACAGCTACCAGAATCTCTGTTCCAGAGGATTCATTGTTATAAGTTTCTTGTTTAGCCTTCTAGAGAGTCTTTACTGTTGTAGACATATATCTATATAGTTTATTTTTCATAAAATGGTAATATACTATACTGTTCTGGACCCTGCTTTTCTCATTTAGAAATATATTGTGGA